CCCCCCCCCCCCCCCCCCCCCCCGTCTGAAAGTGAAAAGCTCTTCTGAAAATCTCTCTAAATGTTGGAACTGATGTTATGTGTCAGTGAAAGATTGCTTGAAAAGAGGATGTAAACTGCCTCCATTTTTAGGAGGCAGAAGCTCGATACTTCAAAGAGCAGAAACTTCCAGCTCAACCCAAATCACAACCGAAGGTACTTGTGTTGTAGAGTCACAAGGTAGATACACAATCAGTCAACAGTATTGACATGTTGGACTTTAAAGGGTTGACAACACGCGGCGCTGCACGCCCCTGTGGGTAAGTCAAGAAGAATAAAGGGAGTTTTTAAGAGTAAAATGCTGGCTCGACTGTTGTGGTCCTTCAGAGGCCTGACGACACTCATCCTGAAGGTTGAGTCAACGAGGAAAGAAAATATTGCAATGTACAGAATGTAAAGTCAGTTTAAATGGGAATACTGGAGAATTGTATTGTTTAAATATGTTACTTTTATGCTCTAAGACAGTTCTGTATGTATTACAAACTGGTTGTTGTTCTCTCTCTCTCTCTTTCTCTCTCTCTCTCTCTCTCTCTCTTAGAGATGGACAAGAGGGTAAGAGTTTCCTGTGTCCCCTGATGTGTGATATCTCACTATGTAGAGAATGTGACGGTAAATATGTGAGTGTGGTCGTATTCACACTGGGTCGCGTTCCAGTTGAAAACCTGCAGCACTCCTGTAGCATGAAGCATATTTGTGTCGACCCACAAAGTTAGCTTTATATCACTGTGGCACATCAGTTTGTGCACCCAGGAAGTATTTTCTGGTCCTCCTTACTGATTACTTCCAAATGTTAGCATTTTTTGACTTGCAGCTTAAAGTTTCTATTAATGCAACAAAACAGATTTAAAGTTTTTTTTTTTGTTTGAAGAAAATCTGGTAGAACTGTCTTAGGTCATGTGAGTAACGTGTTAGAAGTATGTTTCCCTGTAAACATGAGTTGTTTTATAGACTATTTGAATGGCTCAGAAACAAAGAATGTTTCTGATGTTTGTGGTCTAATGTGTCGATATTAGTAGCTGGAGACTTTTCCTTGTCTGTTTTTTTTTAATTTTTTTTTTTTAACAAAAATGTAGACCGTTGTTTCACACAGGGTGTTGAGAACATATCTATGAATCTGCTCCTAGCTTTAAAGTCTTGTAGTCTTGTAAGACCATTAAACTTTGCAAATATTATTCCTAGTTTTAAAGGAATATACTATTGAAGCAACCTGAAAGCCTACTTTTGCAGATTTTACACAGGTACATGTACAGAAAACAGTGGTTATACTGTAATATACCCCAAAATAGTCACCTATAATTTATACTCAGTACACAGTTTTGTCACATCATACGTGAATATGCACTTATTCCTGAATTGTGATTATTTCATTCAAAAGTGAACTTGAATAAATCTTCTTTTTTTCTATGGAAAGACGTTGTTTGTTTCCCCCCACAGCTTACAAGTGAAGAGACGAGATGCAGGAAGGACTGGGAGCCCAGTGATTCACTGATCTACTCAAGTCGTTTTATCTTGATGCCTGCAGAACTTCAAGACTTTCAACACTTTGATGAAATGTATTGAGCAGATTATCAGCTGAAGGGAGCAACATCCACTCTGTCAGTGTGAGCACTGATGATGTGACTTGAAACCACCACTGATGAGATAAAAGAAGCTTGATTGAGCATGTGAGACACAATCTCATTGAATACACAGAATAAAACAATAGCTTTTTATATTTCATTGATCAAAAGTGGTGTGGGTTGCTGATGTTTATTTTCCTAAATATGCCCTTTCAATGCTGTTATTCAGTTTAAAACCTAACTGAGGGTAAAACTTAGGGTAATTCAAATATTAAACTGCATGCTCGATGAACTGCCAACACAGCAGATTTTGACCAATTTAAAAGTTTAGAGTAAAAGATGCATTACATTTGAGATGAAGTTAGTATACATTTCTGCAGATTCTAGAGATTATAAGCATAGGTCCCACATGTTAAAGGCTGTACGGTTAGAAATTATAACATTTATATTACTAAATTTAGATTTGAAGCCTCTGAAACTTGGTTTCAAGTATGCCTCAATAACATAAAATATTTGTAACTAAATGAGCACAATCAAAGTAAGGGGGACAGAAACATCCATTGTTACCATTATTGACAATTCAACACAAGGAATTTTTCAGCCAATCTGCTTAATCAGGACTGTTTGGATTGGCTTTAATCAGAGTGGATTGCTCACAAATGTTAGAGAAACTAATCAACAACAGAGACCAGGAGGAAGTGATCGCATGAAAAAGAGCATACACCAATCGTGACCTTTTGTCAATGCACTGTTAGGTTTATTAATCATTAATGAAATCAAAGGGTTTTAAATGAGTATTCAGATTTGAAGATGTTATTTTATAATAATATTAAAATTCATCAAAAAAATCCTTATCTTTCTTTTATTAGTGATGAATCTTGTATCTTTCCATAACGATTCTGCATGAAGAAAATTCCATGGTGAACCAAAACCAGAATAATTGTTACAAATTTGGCATTCAATAGCAGTTAATATATTCAGTTAAACATGGTGTAAAGGATATTACATGACAGGTAGTTTTATCATTATTTCAGGGAAGGTGGGTATGTTCATTGTCATAACATGTGAGCCGGTTGAGCAAACTTAAATCATTAAGTTTAAATTGGGTAAGGTTTTCTTGGTGTCATGGAATTAAATAAACTGCCTTATTCAATTTGAGAAGAGTCCGATTTGCATACCTTTAAGGCTAAGTACACACTACTTCCTGACAGTATTCCTTAACGGACTAATCTTCAAAAGGTTTCATTTTTGTTTTTACTTTTTTGTATATTGACGTTTGCATGTAAAAGTTGTCTTTTACTTCTTTTATATCTTAAAAAAAACAAAACTATATTACGTGTTACCTTGTCTGCTTCCTGAAACATGTTATTCATTGTGTGTTCATGTGATTCAAACTTTCTTGCTCTTTGGTCACTGTTTGCGAATGCTTCTTAATGTCAGACATTGGATTTCCTTCTCTGTCCTGATAAGATGTTGATGGAGGGACAACAATGGAAATAAATCCAGGACAGAATAATTATATCCCTGACACAGTCTAATCAGTTGTATTTTATAAACAAGCTGTCAAATGTTTTTAAATATTTCAAGAAATTAAAAAATAGGTTTTAGGAGATGTAGTGCCTCCTCAGCATCGTTTGGTGGCAGCACTGAGACGACAGTTAGTCTCCGCCCCAAACAAATAATACAACGAAGAAGAAACCATCAACAAGATCTGCGAAACTTTAGGTGAGCAGCCACTTCGTTTCGGTCGTTCCAGTAAGAGCGATGGGAGTCCTACCAGGGAAAACCCTTTCAAGTTTACTTTTCTTCATTATCCTCCTGTCAGAGGGACACTTTCGATGGGTAAGTTGTCAACTAACGTCCGTATTCTCGCGACTAAAACATGACTCAGCTCGGTTTCCCTGTTTGCTAGTGTGATGTTTATCTGACGCGGCTAGCAGAACTAAGATCCAGGTTCGTTTAGCTATTTAAGCCTTTTTGTTTCTGTTTTTATCCCGGGGCTGAAATAGCGTAAGCCAGTAATTGGATTTAACAGTAAGCTCAAACATAATAACTAGAATTAATGTTGGTTAAAAACTGCACCAGCCTCGTTAGCGATAACCAAACATAGTGAACACAGACGTCAGCTTTAACATTCCACAGAGACGGTTGATCCAGAACCGGTGTCGAAAGAAGCTTCGTGCTGTCATGTCTTGGCAGATTGAAAACTACATCCTATTTCAACTAGGTATTTAAACAAAGCGTAGGTAAATATGCTCCAGTCAATACTGTGAGCACCCTAGCCATGTTGTTTTATCTATAAACGGCTCACAAAAGTGGAGTTGGCAGGTTATACAATAAACAGACATCAGATGGAAGCTAGGTAGCTAACGTTAGCTAAATAAATGTGACTACCACTGTTCGAGGATGTACAGAATGTCCTTTTTTATGTGTGAAATTCTTCTATTTAGTTATTTTTTTTAATAAAGTGTATAGATAATGTAGTCATTGTGACAACGCATAGAAAACTTGCCTGCCTATGTTTTTTTTAAACAACTGTTTTAAATGGTAAGAATATAATAATACAAGTAAGTAACGTTACATAGAGATTACAAGAGACAACACAGTCCTTGGGGTGCACCTTGATGATATTAATGATGGCAAAACAAGATTTACTTTAAATGAATGATGGACATAAAGGTGTAAGGCATTGTTCACCTTTTACATATTTATTACGAATTTTTCCTATTATGGAGAATGTGATATATATATTTTTTTTCTTTCATGAAGACACCATGAATTATGTAAATCAAGGTAAATTAGTGTTTTTCTGGTGAAGTTGTCATTTCAAATCACACCAAACAAACGTCCTTTGCTAAACATAAGACCACTCGGAATATGATCATTACTGTTTCAAGATAAGACATCAGAGTTCTGGTAAAAAACAAAATAGCACGGATGTGGTATATGTGTGTGTGTGTCACTTCTGTTAGAGGCGTTTGTGGTTGTACATCAGGTTTCTGTTATGTTTATTAACCATTTTAAAACAAAACTTCTGGTTCTTACTCAATAAAAAACAAGTATCTCACAACTATTTCTGAGTTTTGCAGGTTAACAGTTGGTACACTGTAGTTTAAGGTACTGGCCTAGTCTGCAGCTGCATAAAACTCCCAACTGAAACAATAATGCGAGCGCTGCCCTTAAACTCAATCCCACGAGGCACGAGTAGGACAGAGTGTTATGCTGCGCTTACTCATGAAACAGTTTGTGGAGTAAGTGAATTAACTTCCCCTCCCAAAACAGAACATGTGAGAGCTCTAATGCTGAATAGACAGATAACAGACAACCTAAACTGCAGAAGCAATATATTGTACAAGCGTGTATTAAACATTTAATTATTAAATAGTATGTTATTGCGTTTTCTCCATCATATCACATTAAACAACATGTTTCAAGTGCTCGAATTGAACTTGGTCGGAGCCGTAACAGCAACAGTGTTGTTATGTTGTCATAGAAATTTGACCACAGTTCTCCTTTCTCTTCTTTCTTGACGCTGAATGTGGTTGAATCACCAACATGATGGCGCACGATGTGACTAAACTGGCTCTGTGTATTACCAGGCTATCTCCTAAAATGCAGGTGCCTAAGGAAACAATATTGCAGAAGTGAAATTGTTATTTTCAGACATACAGAGCACGAGATACTAGAAACACAGGAAACAGGCATGACTGGAGGTTAAACTTGGTAAACCTCAAGGTAAAATGGTACAGCTTTCACCGCCCATCAGACTTGTCAATTCCTTTCTTCTTTTTTTTTTTTTAAGGCAAGACCTTTGTCCTCATTAGATAGGAGTAGAAGTAGGCTACTCTCAGTAAAAAGCTACGTACGATTCAACAGACTGAATGCAGACCACTGCACGAAAACAAATGCATTTGCTTTATGAACAACATTGCACAAATGATCACTGTCTTTTTGTTGTCTTTCTGTCAGGTTGAGGCACAGCACTGTGTGTGGTATGGGGAGTGTGGGGAGTCCGTAAAGGTGCCTGGAAAGAAGTACAACTGCAACTACACTGGTCCTCCCAAGCCGCTGGTCTCCCAGGGTTATGACCTTCTCACGGTACAGACAGCAGCATCTTGATGTTTTTGTTCTGTTTATGCTGACTTTTGATGCTCAAACCAATCATCTGTGATCTGCTTTCTAGAAGTGCTAAAGTTGAACAATTCTACAAAAGTGTGTTAAAGTGACACCATCCCTCTTTGTGGTTACTTGCAGGAGCTTTGTCCTGGATATGACTACGGAAACCGAAGCCTCTGCTGTGATGCTAACCAGTTGAACACCCTCAAAGGGAGTCTCCAGCTGCCCCTTCAGTTCCTGTCCCGGTACGCACTGCGGTTATAACATTAACTAATGAAGCACGTGACATTCTTTGAAGGGCATCACGAATCGCTGAACACAAACAATGGGAGCATTTGCTCTTTTGAATCCGTCCGTACGTGTGCTGCTCAAAACTTGTTGTTTGAACATGCAAGCCGTGGCTTTCCATGTTCCTAATTAAGGACAGACTGTGATTTTATAAGGTTGGCAGGTTTTCTTATCTTCCTAGATTTTATTTACTTTACTGCATTTGTTATTGCCTTGTTTTTTTCTTTGCAACTGTTACACTCTTAAACTTTGACATCTTGTTTTAGGTTATGCAATGACCACTTTCTCTTTTTTAATTCTGTGTGCTTCTCACGCTCACTACCGTGCGTCTGTGTGCAGGTGTCCCTCCTGTTTCTTCAACCTGATGAACCTCTTCTGTGAGCTGACATGCAGCCCTCACCAGAGTCAATTCATGAACGCCACCAACTTCAACGTCACCAATGTCGTGGAGGTGCAGTACTATATTGGACAGACATTTACCAACGGTGAGTTCACAGCCAGATGTCGATTTTAGATATGACAAACGGCTTAGTTATCTTTATTTCCATGGTGTGCACCTGCTGTGTAAACTATATTAGTTTCCTACTTTAACATGACGTTTTGCAGTCATAACTGTGTTTTTGGTCAAATAAAATAGGGGTTTGGTAATATAAGGTAGTGAAAATCTTGAGTTGTTCCCTGAATTAATCAAAAGGTTTTTTTCCAGCCATGTACAATGCCTGTAAGGACGTCCAGGCGCCGTCCAGTAACGTAAAGGCCTTATCACTGCTGTGTGGAAAGGACGCAAAGGACTGCAATGCTACCAACTGGATTCAATATATGTTCGATATTAACAATGGACAGGTTCCTTTCTCTATCACCCCCATATTCTCAGGTAAATCATTTTACAGTACTTTAATGTATGAGGTCAAAATCCCCCTACGGCTTCCTTTTATGCCATTCAAACAGATGTTTACCTGCTGCTCTTTGCCGTTATGCTGTGTCTTTTGCACCAGACGTCCCGGTGTCCGGTTACACTCCCATGAACAACAAGACCTTCGACTGTACAGAAGGGCTGGAGGACGGTTCGGGTCCCTGCTCCTGTCAGGACTGCACGAAGGTCTGTGGCCCCAAACCTGTGCCTCCCCCTCTCCCCCCTCCCTGGACAATCCTTGGCATCGATGCCATGACTGTCATCATGTGGATCTCTTACACAACCTTCCTGCTTTTCTTTATTGGAGCTGTACTGGGAGCTTGGTGTTACAGGTAAAGGATTTATTTTAATGGTGGATTCACCATCAGACCCACTGAAAACAAACATATTGGTTCTGACGCTTGCTTTAGGAGTTAATATCAAATTGGCTTGCGTGGTTCTTTGTGCATACAGGAAGAGGACCGTCATGTCTGAGTATGGCCCCATATTGGACAGCACTGACCCGCTGTCTCTCAGTGGTGATAATCCTGACCACGGTAATGTAACTCATGAAACAAGTGAAAGCGTTAGTCCTCTTTCTGTAATCAGTTTCTTGTAATAACATTGTTGTGTCATTGCTGAGCTAACTCCCGGTCTTTTTCTCCTCTAAAGTAAATGCATCCTGCTGTGAAACAATGGGTGAATGCTTCGAGAATGCTCTGCGGACCTTCTTCAGCTGCTGGGGTTCCTTCTGTGTGCGGCGTCCCTCTCTGGTCATACTGGGCAGCCTGATGGTGGTGGCCGCCTGCTCTGGGGGACTGGTCTATATGCGCATCACCACCGATCCCGTTAAGCTGTGGTCTGCTCCCACTAGCCAGGCTCGTCAGGAGAAGGACTACTTTGACAGCCACTTCGGACCCTTTTTTAGGACCGCGCAGCTCATTATAACCACGCCACTCAATGACACTTTTATTTACTCCCCATACTTTGGAGGATCAGATGTCCCGTTTGGAGCCATCCTGGACAAAGACATCCTGCACCAGGTGGGTTAGGGGGAGAAGTCTATTTGGGAGCTGGATCAGTAGCAATATTTTGTCAAGTTTTATCTAAAGAAGTATCGTTTCTGTCACCAGATAAAATAGAAACGTTGCACGTGAAGAGCAGCTGCTTCTCTGAAAACTCTGGTTGATTGGTTCTCTTTTCCTACTTTCATTTTTTTGCAACCTTAACCAACCAGGTGCTGGACCTTCAGCTCGACATCGAAAGCCTTATTGCGACATACGAGGGCGAAAGTGTCACCTTGAAGGACATCTGCTTGGCTCCACTGGCTCCTTACAATAACAACTGCACCATCCTGAGCGTCCTGAACTACTTCCAAAACAGCCACGCTGAGCTGGACCACAGCGCAGGAGACGAGTTTTTCGTTTATGCTGACTTTCACAGCCACTTCCTCTACTGTGTCGGGTGAGTTTTGCTGCTTCATTTTGTGAATTTTGTATGTTGACCAATAAGCTGGCCCTCCTATGTTCTTAAAATTGTCCTAATGGCCAGCAGAAATCTATTGAAGGTTTAGGAAACAGTAAAGTAAAAAGGTCAAAACCTCTGTGTTGCAATCGAACACCTGCAGCTCAAAAGAATCTATTTTCTCCAGACAC